AAGTGATATACCCAACCGATCATCGAATAATTGTTACCGAAACAAATTTTAATTTTCAAAATCATCGCCAGTAGAATTTGAACCCTAGACCTGCCATTTGGAGAGGTAACAACTTGCCAACTGCACTATGTCACCATACCCCTAATTATATTTTATTAAATTATATTATACTAAATATTTTGATAAGATTGAAAATATTTGAATTTACTAAACAAAGTAAAAAATTTTCTTCTTATATAATCAAATGTATAATATAATCAAATTAATAAATTTTACAATTACTTATAATATATATGTCTTATATGTTTAGCTTTAAATAACTTAAATAACAAAATACTTATAATAATAGAAAATTTATTTTATTAAAATTGATTAAATCTGCATATTTTAAAAACAAATAACTATTTATAATATATATGCATATATTGCATAAGGGACATGACAAAAATCAGGTAATTTTTTAGAAGGGGGAGAGGGTAAAAATTTCAAAATTATATATAAAGACCTGATCAAGATATATAGTAAGAGGAGGGAGGGAAATAAGCTTCTGATAAAAAAAATTATGTAATAAATGTCACTGCCCTAAGTGTTTATTTGGTAAATGCATAATTTATTATATTTAAAATTTCTTAAATAATATATTAATCATGATAAGTATCTTAAAGTTATAATTATTAAAAGAATCAGTTTTATTATTATTTCTTTTTTAAATTTATTTTGATTAATTCAAAAAAATAAATATTAGAAAAATGCTATTAAAGGGTTTAATGATTTTATAAAAAAATCTTGATAATATATTGAAAAAATAAATAGTAAGCTTGATGGTATTAATATCGAATCAGGTATTGATTATAAAAAATTTTTAAAAAAAACAAAGAAAATTTGTAGAAAGCATTAGTTTATGTTATTTTTAAAATTTTTTAAAATATTATTTTTTAAATTTTTTTAATTATTTTTTTGAAAATTTTCAAAATATTTTTCGCAATTTTTTGAAAAAACATTTTTTCAAAAATTTTCTAAAATTTTTGCATATTTTTTCGTTATTTTTTCGTTATGCAATTTTTTTTAAAATTTTTCATATTTTAAAATTTGCTGATGAAGCTGATAAATAATATGGTTTTGTTTTTTTCAGAAAGAGGTGTAGTATTTTTTATTTGCTTTTGAATAATTGTTTTGATTGTTGATTAAGTAGTTGATGCGAAATTTGTGATTAGTATAGGATTTGTAGTTGATACAGGATTTGTATTTGATGAAGAAGACTCTATTCCACCTTTGATTTTTAAAAATTTGATGCTCAGTACATAAATGTGTAGCTATGTTAGTTGTTGATGTTGTTGGTATAAATATTTTTAAATACTGTTTGAAAATACTATCATCTTTATTTATATAAACCTTGTAAGATTTGACCTTAATTAATTTGTTCTGGCAAGTATTTTTTTTTTAATTACTGTATTTGATTTTGAAGTTTTTTTTGTAAAAACTTCACGTAGAGTAAAATAGGACGTAATAGGTAAAGATTTAGTAGTATTATTCTTTTTATTTTAATATAATCATTAACTTCATCACAATTATTATTTTCATTGCCATCATTATTTATTATCAATATTATTTTTATCAAAATTATAAGATTCTTTACCAAAATTATAGGATTTTTCATTCAAATTATAGAATTCTTTATCCAAATTATAGAATTTGTCATCCAAATTATAAGATTTATCATATTCAAATAATATACTATTTTCACCAGAAAATTGATTATTATCTACTTTTTTTTATTACAAATTAGCGAAACTTGTATGTATATTTAACAATAATAGTATCAATACTGAAATTTGGAAGTATTTATTATTATTGATTTTTAGAGTATTTATTTTTAGTGTACTCTGTACTTGGTGCACCCTTCTATGATATCTCAAAATTTTACTAGGATAACTCTGTTGTATAACTAATAAAAAATACTTCCTATCAAGTTTTTACTCTAATCTAATCTTAATTTTAACTCTAATCTAACCCTAACTTTAATTTAATTTTTATTTATATTAATTTGCTATAGTTTGCTATAAGTACACTGATATATACTCTGCACAAAAAATAATTTCTCTTATTTTTATTAGTTTTTTTTTTATATCTTTAATATAGTATACAAATATATTAATTATTTAATTACAATTTTTTATATATATTAATACAGCATATATATAAATATATCGATTAAATTATTTAATATATTATGCTGTATTTATAAGTTTGGTTTAGGTTTTTGTATATACTCTAGACAGAGAAATTATTTTACAAATCAGATGTGAGCTATTTTTAGATTTTAAAAAAATACTTTTTGGTATGTTTAAAAATTTCTCATACCCCAAACTTTTAATTATTTTGGTAGATTGGCAAAATTAGATCTTTATCTCTAAACCTTTAGTTATTATAGTGAATTGGTAAAATTGACCTTAATCTAATGATTTTTTTTTTTAAAAAAATTATAAATTTAGAATATTGCAATAATGAGTACTATTAGAAAAAGAATTAAACTATGATTTTGAGTTTATTATAATATCTCCAAAGGGGCACGGCTAATAAAACAATAAGTCATTCTAGCCACTTTGTAATTGCCTTTAGTAATAAATCGCAATAACCAATAAAAAAATTAGGCATTTGCCAGCCTTCGGCTAATTCTCCCAAAACAAAACTACGTACCTGTAATTTTTTTCGAAAATAAGATGTCAGTATTATACATGTGTGCCTAAATTATTTTTAAAAAATCATATTTTCGGCAAATATTTCGGCATTGCTAAATTTTTTATATGAAGCCCTTCGAAATAACTATATTATATTATGTATTTTGATGAAAAGAGTTCAAAAAATTTCAGCAATAATTTCAGCAAATATGAAAATTATTTCGGCACTATATAAGACTAATTTCGGCTGCCTAAATGCCGTAATTACTTTTTTATTAAGATGGGCAATTTAGGCACCCATGTATAGTCAGTATCACAATAGTCTAATTAATTTGTTTGTACATTACCCCTGCACTCGTGTATCTATACTAATAATCTTTTTTTCCTGTTATAGATGTCTTCGATTAATGTTTTAGAAATTGCACCATTTTTGGCCTTTGTGTTAATAATGATGTTTGCTGAGAAAATTTCTGTCCATCTGATTTTTGTTGCCATGTGCTCTGTTATATATGTCGTCAGATAGCAACTTACTGCAGAACTTGACGCACGTATGGAAAGATTAACTGTGGATCTTACATCACGAGATGCCACAATTGTGGTCGAGAGACAGAGAATCCTGACAATGGTAAATACTGTAATTGAAACTATTAATGAAATCACCACCAATTATGAATCCCTTCGTGACCAGTTGGACCAAATAACTGAGATGGGTTCTGTGGCACCATTAATATCTGAACAATTTGCTGGCCCATCCGTATCTACGTCCAATTTTTCTCAAAGATCTTCTGGTTCTTCTCTGGGTTCTTCTAGTGGCTCAAGTCAATTATCTTTTTCCAATATTACCTCAACAACCAGAAACCACTTTAAAATTCTTTTTGATAAGATTATGATAGACAATAATTATTCTTTAGAC